GCAGTAGCCTTGACTGGGGTTTTAAGGAGTTTATCTGGGAACTAGTTGCAGGATGCAAAGTGATCCAGGAATGAGAACTAAGTTGGAATGACTTAGAGTTATTATCTGAAAGACTGCAACATATGGATATCATAAAACAGAAGGCAAAACAATTTACTCCTTAAATTATGGTAACCCAAAGGTAGCTTCTTGTCTATTCACTAGAAAACATATTTGGGATTGCGGAGCCAGGTCCGGGGTGTAGCTAGAAAATTTTGGTTGGTAGTGTGTGTGGAAATTGGGGGGGGGGGCACCCTGGCCACACCTGATGCTCCTCTTGCAGCAGCAGAAGAAGAAGCTCCAGCTCCACTGCACCCTCTAGTCCTCCTCCTCTAGTCTTTTCGATTGGAGACTCAATTCTGGGCTGCTTTTCTGTGTAAGTCAGGGGGTGTGTCTCTGACTCTATTTTGCATTTTGCAATTTTATTTCACCCCCTGACTGTGTCATTTTGGAACACACACACATCTTACTTTTTAAACTCCTAGCCAATCTATACACACACCTTATGTGCAGCTATGGCAACCTGAAATTGGCCACACACCCCTGCTGCTCATGATTGGCCAAATGGCCACGGCTAATCATGATTAGATAGGGGTATAATTGTTTGATCTATATGGGAGTGACTTCTTCTTGTTCTCGAGTCTCTTGTTCTATTAGTTCTGAGGCTCTTGCTGCCTGTTTTATTGCACCTGAAATGCTTTCTCTTGGAAAACAAAGACCTGCTTGGTGACTTGGAGCACATGGATGTACAAAGATGGGATTTCCCTTCAAAATCCCTTGGACTATCTTGGACTGATGAATACTCCTGACTTGGTAACTATGAATCCTTAATGGTTAGTTAGGGCAAACAGCCCTAGCCTTCGTTATTTTTGTAATCTCTGGTAGTCTATGCTAAACTCTGTACTGAATAAAGATATTTCTTATTTCTAATTGTCTCTGGTGTTGTAACTTTAATTCCAAGTCTAAGTCTTGTGCCTAACCCTGACCACATATGCTACCTTGGTAAGAGTGTGCATCTGTGGATTGAGATGCAAATGCGTTCTGTCCCAGATGCCAACTAAGGGCTGAATCTCTCCCTTAGGAAAAGCAGGGACTATTGAAGAGAGATTCTGGTGGCAAATTGTTCTGAAACCAGAGAGGGTATAGACCATCTCATGGTTTGTTGTTTAATGTACTGAAAAGTACAGAATTCCCTCTCATCCCTGGACTGGCCTGAGTGGGCTAATCCTGTACACCTCTGCTTCTACAGTGCACAGATCTTTGATTTTGCCATCTGGAAGGTAGGGAAAAATAAAAAATGATGGAAGAAAACAATACTTTTTATTTTGTTTACTACATAATTTATCTGGACAGAAATTTTCTCGTAGAGTCACAGTAGGTAGAAATGCCAGCATGTTTGGATATTATACTAAACTTTCTAACACTGAAAATACTTAACTCTTTAATAATGTATTATCATTAAATGTATTATCATTAATATTGCATATTAATTGCTGCCCAAATTATTTACATTTAATTTTTTAAAAAATCTTGAAAAGGTTGTATGGAAAGTGTAAGGGTTTATCTTCCCAGTGTACCCCAGAAATTCGTATTTTTTTTCCAGTGGAAAAACTGACAAAGTCCTCAGACATTTTCATGCCAGGAATGAGCAGCACGCTTTGTAAGACAATGTTTTGTTCACTCAAAAATGGGAAATATTCCATAGGATTACTTTTCAGTTCTTCCCCAAATTTTATTATTTTTTCATTGGAAAAATTGAAAGAAAAAAAAAAGTTCACAGAATTCCCAGCCCCTAAAAATGTTCATTTGTTTCTGGGCCTTTATCTTTCTAACGATTTCATGTCTGACATAAAGAATATAAAATTACTTTTAATTTGAGCCATGAATGGTTGATGTATGACCTTTCAGAACAGAGTTATAGCCAGTCTATTGAGTGAAAGTTCTTGGGCATTTTGATTTCCACCATTCTAGTGCCTTGCAGCTCTTGTGGGCCTGGGCAACATGTGAACTGGGGGGAAGACTGTCAAGAAAAAACATACCCCAATCCTGTACCTCAAACTACCACCCAAAACCTAATTTTTGTACCACTTGCTTCACCACCATTATGCTTGCCTTAGGCACCGATTGCATCAGTGAAGCTCTTTCCTACTCTCCTACGATGCGGCTAATTAAGCAGACTCTGGAGCACAATAGAAGACGGGAGGGCCTGGAGTGATGTGGTCCATGGGGCCGCAAAGAGTTCGGCTCGACTGTGTGACTGAACAACAACTAATGAAGAAGATACATGTAATGTATCCATATCAGACCACGTGCGAGGCCATTTCGCCACGCGGTCAGGCGAAGCGACCGAGCTTCGCTCTCAGTAACAATGGGAGAAGCGGATCCTAGCCGGCACCTATCTGCAGGCTAGGCTCCTGGCCGAGAGCCTATGGAACTCTCGGCCACTGTCAATAGCCAATCACTTGTGTGTGGGTGTGTTTGGGGAGTGGGGTTTGTGCACATATAAACCAGCCTGCGAGCTGGGTACTCTCGTCTTGTTCTGAGCTGAAATAAAGTATGAGAGCTGAAATCACTAGTAAGTCTCAGTACTTTTCACTACACAAGATTGTGTTTGTGATCATTAGCACAAATACACGGGCTACAGGTATACGCGAGAGAAGTACCAAATACACTGTATTGTGCTCTTTGGAAGATGGGCAGTATAATAAAAATAAAAGTAGATTGATAACAGATTCTAGTAACTGCAGAAAAAGCTTTGGCAGCAGCAGTGTCAGTCTTTCCTGTTATGAACTGAGAACCAGATTTTCCATCCAATTCTGTTGCCACATTTTAGGATTTTTCTGTTTACTTTCCCTTCCCCTGTTGCTAACTGCTACTTCAGAAGTTTGAGGCCTACCAAAAAAACCCCAACAAAACCTGACAGGCCATTTCCTCTCCCACAGTTTAGTTCCTAATCTCATTACCCTTCACTTCCCTCAAGTACACACATTCATGGCATCTCTACATGCTATTCCTGTTTGTCTGTTTCACAAAACGTCAGAGCCGGTTGAGTAATCTCAGCCTTCCTTTGAAATCTGCTTGCCAAAGGGCCTTGATTTTGTGTTTATCCTGTATTTCTATGAACTGCTTCACCAGTTCTTTCTATTTTTTAATTCTGTTTTATCCATTAGATTTCAGCTCTCATAACAAGAGAACACTAACAGCCTTCCAGATGATTTTAGTAAAAATTCAGTTTTTTAATCTTAATTTTAGAGCTGGTCATATTTTCCACCAATCCAGAACTGATAGTATGAAAAGTGGAATTGTGCACCTCTGCCCTCTCTTCTCTTTTTCATGCTGCTGGGAGAAGGAAGCCCCAAAGCCTCCTTGAGAATTTGAGTCTCACAAACCACTTGAGAGAGAGAGTCATGACTCACAGATTAAGAACCAGGACAGGAAATGTTCTCCATCTTGCCCTGCAATGTCGAATTTATTCACCTTCAATGCCCACCAAGCTACCTTATGCCAGACTCCAAAAATGGTGGGAAGACAAAGAAAGAGGCACATTTAATTCTTGTACGAATGGAGAATTACCAGCAGAAATGGGCTGATTGTATTTTCAATACTTTAACAGATGTTAAAATGGAGGACAAGACCAAATGTACACTGGAGCCACTCAGGGATGGATAGACAAGTTTAAATGTTATCAAGTAACAGGAAAGTACATTTAAGTTCTCAGAGCAGCAGTTAAATAGTCAAACAGACTTTCTAGGAAGATTGTTAGAGGTTTTCAAAGAAAGACTGGATATGCAGTCTCTCAAGTACGCTGTAGCAAAAGATTAGACTAGAAGAGCTACACAATTCAGCTGACACAGAAAACAAGATTAGATCCATGAGACTGACAGATCCTGCTTTCACAAGTCAGCCCCACAAATTCTGCAGGAAAGTGGAAGAATTAGCAGCCATGACACTCATGAGATCTTTTTAAAATTCCAGAGCATAAAGATAAAGCATTATGATGCAGGGAGATTTGACTTACACATTTTGCTCAGTTTTGGGAAGGTCTGACTGCAGTGTTCCCTCTAAGCTGAGTTAGTGTTAGCCTGCTCACAGTTTTTAGCTTCCAGCTCACACATTTTTGTCTTAGCTCAGGGAGGATGGCTCCAGAGCGAACTAGTTTATGCAGCAGTCAAATCACTGGCTCACAACTTTAAGGCCAGTAGCTCACAAAGTGGGATTTTTGCTCACAAGACTCCACAGATTAGAGGGAGCATTGTCTGACTGTAATGATTCTAGGAGCTGATTTCGGATTTTCTGCTGCTTCCAGCACAAAGTCTGACCTGAAAAGTCACTTTAATGACTAACAGACATTGAAGATGACAATGGACAGACCACAACAAAGCTTTATCATATATAACCAAAAAGAAGCATGAAGAGATTCCACTACATAATATATGACTTAGTTCTAAACACACAAGAGGTGTTCCTCACATTATAAGAAAAGAAGTTGTGGATTAAAATGAGAATAAGTCAAACAAAGGAATAATTTTGTAAATCTGAAATGGCTCTAGTGTTCCCACAGAGCTGAAGGCCAGCAAAGTATGCTGTCAAGAAGGTCCAAGTTATCAAAACAGGGCTAGTTGGTGTTTGAACGTCATTCAGGCACTATTTTTAAATAATCAGAGAATATGTCCTGTTTTCTTGTTTACATCTATATTTATCTCCTCAAACAAGGCCTGCTCTTCCTTAGGGCCCTCCAAGGGAAACGGGTGGGATGATGACTGAGAAAGAACACAATTACTTCAAGTGTGTGTGTTTGAATCTTTTTGTGTACATGGTCTCACAATTCAAATTTACCTCTGTTTCCAAGATGAGACACACAAATATATATTTCTGGCCACCAGCCATTGTATCAATACTTCTAACACTGCATACACTCCATAAACATTTAACATTGGCCATTTTCACACATTACAGTCCACACAGACTGTGTCTGGGGTTCCCATTCTGTCTTTCAGTTAGGGTTGCCAGTCCCCCCGGTCTGGGTGGGGGTTCCCCTGCTTTTGCCAGCTGGCAAAACACCACGCGTAAATGACCTGGACGTGTGATGATGTCACCCAGAAGTGATGTCAAGTTGCGACATGCGTCAACGCTCTAGTTTTTGGGCAAAACTCTATGGTAAATTTGGGCTTAAACCAGAGTTTTGCCCAAAAACTAGAGTGTCGTCATGCAACATCGGTGACATCATCATGCCAAGTGTGCAAAGCACACACGACAGAAGAAAGCCCAAAGATCCCCCCCACTGGGAAGTAGGTAGGACCTGGCAACCCTCCTTTCAGTCAGACATGAGTTTACAGGTTCCCTTCAACTCCCTTTCATGGAGTGACCAATTTGGATCAGGACTGCTATGCACAGGGAGACAGGGCTTCAGTTGTCCCACCATGCCATTATCTTGACCTCAAACAGTCCTGGGGTGTTATTTGCCCTGTTGGGGAAAGCTGCATATATCCTGGAATACACATGGGTTTTCCATTAGGGAAAATAACACTCCCAGGGTGCGTTCAGACGGGGGATTTACAACGGTTAGGGTGGCCAATCCAACCGGTGTACTTACGGGCGTTCACATGGCGAACATCTGCCTCCCGTCCCTAACCGTTGTAAATCCTTTTACACCGTTGTACTCTGCCACTAGGTCCGAAGTGGTGGTAAACAGAGTACAACGGTGGCTTCCCGGGCGTCCCACGATGGGAATCGCAAAATGGAGGTGAGTGTGATCGCGTTTCTGCCGGCATAAACTGCACCGGTTCCAACCGGTGCAGTTTATGCCGGCAGAAAGCCCCCATCTGAACGCACCCCCAGAGCCTTCAGGTTCGGAAAAAGGCATGGACAGGGGCTAAATGCCCATCTCTCTGTGCACAGTGGACCCAATCTAGATCAGGCACACTGTGCATGGGAATGTAAAGAAACCCACAACTCATGTCTGACTGAAAAACAGAGTGGAGAATTCAGACAAAACCTGTGTAGCCTGTAAAGAGGTAATCAGCCCTCATTTTGCATAAGGACAGCCACCTCATCTACAGTATTAAAAACCCTGTAGAATACTTTATGGTTAAAACAAACCTAGCTCCTGGTTAACTTCCTCAAGCAACAAAGATGTTGGGACAACACTGAGGCCAAAATCATATGTGCATCGTGAAGTGCAGGAAAACTGAAATGTGAGCATAAATCCATCTTCCCACTTGCCGGACTCCTACTGATGTTAGGGTCCATCCACACATTACAAAACCCTTTTGTTTGCTGGGCAACAAGAACTGCCCCATGGAGTCACTATCAGCTTTATTTTGAAATTAGTTGTAGACATGTAAGTAACTTCTTCCTGAGTGCAGTCACAAAAAGAATAGAGCTGGTGTGCATCTGGGAGGCACAAAATTCCCACTGCACAAAGTCATCATTTTATTCCCAACTAACATAAATTGAAATAATTGCAATAATAAATACATACATAAGGACTTTGCAACATACAGACAGAGCCCTACTTTCCTTTCAGCCACAGTCTGATGCAGAAAATAAGCCCAAATGAAGAACAGTTTAGACAAAACAGCCCTGCTGCTATGATTCTCTGCAATAATATTGCATATAGGCTGATGACCACAAGTAGGAAAAATTATGCATCTTACAAAGAACCTAGCAAAAACAGTCTCTATCTCTCTCCCCCCTTAACATTCCTCATTTTTCCAGCAAGACATTTACATTGGTCTGCCTCTCTATATATGAGACTCAAAGCTTTTGGTGTATCCTTGAGAAATCCGCACAGTAAATGCTGTAAAATAAATAAATTGTTTTTAGGTTGGCTCATAATGCAAATGTACAAACAGCATACAGCTAGAACATACACTTGATTTCTCATTCACATGTGGTTCAGGCAGTGCAAGAGAGGTTCAAGTGCCACTGCCCAGTGTAAAGGACAAGATGTTCCACTGATCACCCATTCAGAGCTGAAGAGCAGATTTAACAGACAATTAGCCAAGCTCATTAGCTCTTCATCATTTCCCTTCGAGCTGGAAAAGTGACCTGTGCTCACTTAAGCATGAGTGAACATTTTTTTAAAAAATTATTTATACTTTTATAAATTGTACAAGACAAATTTGTATATACAAAAATACATATGCATTAGAGTCTATTACCTCGTTCTTTCTCTATCCAATCGTACAGTCCCGCCCACCTTTTCTCAAAAACCTTTTCATCTTTCCCACATAAAATTACGTTTAGTTTGTCAACCTCTGCTACATTCATCAGTTTATAGATTATTTCTTCTTTTTGTGGTACTTTATCTGATTTCCAGTATTTAGCCCAAAGAATTCTTGCTGCTGTCAAAATATAAATCACCACATATCTATCATAACAATCATATTCTTTTGGAATCATATTTAACAGATAAATTTCGGGTTTAAGTGGCAGTTCAATCTTTACTACTTCTCTTATTATTTTCTGAATTTTTTTCCAATAGTTTTGCATTTTGATACATCGCCACCACATGTGAAAGAATGTGCCTACATTAGTATTACATTTCCAACAATTTTGTGAGCAGTTTGGAAAACATTTTGCAATCCTTTCTGGAGACCAGTACCATCTATGGAGTATTTTAAAGACATTCTCTCTGTATGAGGTAGCTCTCATAATCTTAGTATTTTCCCAAATTCTAAACCAATTGTCCATTTCGATGCCGTGTCCTAGATCTTTCATCCAATTACACAGCCAGGTCCTGGACAATGGCTCCTACCATGTAGTGGGATCATTACCTTAGACATGTGGGAGGTATTCATGCTCCCATGTAGTTAGGGAATAATCAATGGAATTGTTTTGACACAGCTCTTGGACAGAAGCTGAACAAGAGTTGTTCAAACAGATTTCTGTTGCATTTTTTTTAGATATTAGAAGACCACAGTTTCTACCATTTCTTCCCCAAAATGAAGGCCAATTTAGCATCTACTGAAGGAAACTGTAGCCAGAAAACTGCTTATAACCATCAAGCTCATACACAAACATGCACAAGGCTCGCTGCTCAGTATAGGCCTGTTGAACACACATGAGGCTGCCTTATACAGAATCTGACCATCCGTCCATTAAATATTCTCTAATCAGACTGACAGCAGCTCTCCAGGGTCTCAGGCGGCAGTCTTTCACATTACTCCCTACCTGATCCTTTTAATTGGAGATGCCAGTTATTGAAACTGAGATCTTCTGCATGCCAAGCAGATACTCTACCACTGAGCCACAGTCTCTCCACAAGAGCTTTTCACATTACAGTGAACAACTGTACAACCTGCCTGCATGTGTGTACATCTGTTTGTAAAAAGGATCCAATGCACATTCACTTTATGAATGAAACCAGGGACCAGCAACTGGATAAATGTGGGGTTTGTATCACACATTCAGCTGTACATGCATTGACTGTAACATGAACATTACAAAAAGTACATGCGAAGAACAATCAAGTGTACACTGTACATGGATTGTACGTGCATTCACTGTAACTTATGAACGGAGCTTCTGTCACTGTCAAATGTCTGTGGTTCCAGGGAGGTATGTAAGAATCAGAGGATGCAAGTTTAGAGCAGTTTCACACATATTTCTTTGACACTATTCATAGTTTATTTATGTGGGAATAGTAATCAGGATTTGGCCCATTTATTTACCATGAAAGAAGAGCAAAGCTTCTCCTATGTGAGATGGATGTCAGTGCCATTCAGACACGAATCCTGCTTGCTTCCCGTTCAACCCAGGAAGAAACTACACAGGAAATGTTCAAAGGCAGGGGGTCCCAATTAAGTTTAATTAATAACTCCAGAATAGGGCATTCAGAACAACTACTGTACCCCTCCCATATGCATGAACTAAACAACGAAATACTAAGGGGAGAGCGGAAGAAAAAGTAGTGAAATCTGTTTTGAGAGACTTACCAGAGCGCGGATAAGCGTGTGGGCATATTTCAGAGACTTTAGCAAGTTTTCATAAAAGTAAACAATCCATAAAGATGGCGGGGAAAAGGAAAAGTGAAACCAGCCGGAATCTTGAGCCCTCGACCGGAAAAGACCACCGAGCTCTCCAAAAGGTTGGCAAGAGTCCTTGCGCCCTCTGCTGGACCAGATGACTAACATAGAACAACAGCTGACGAATCTAAACCAGAATCTTGCAACTCAGCAGCGCCAACTGACTGAGACTTTAAAAATAATGGAGCAAACGGCTGAGAAGGTGAAGGAAATGGACGCCAACGCCAAAAAAGTCAAGAAAAAGGTGCAAAATCTGGAAAAGAAACAAGCCTCGGAAGAATCATAACTTTTACAGCTGCAAATGGAAAAAGCAAATTTGGTCCTACGATTTCAAGGGGTCCCAGAATTAAAAGGTGAGAATCTAAGGCAACTCCTGAGTGAAGCATTAGCCCCAGTTACAGATTTGAAAGCGGAGTATCTTGCAAGCGAAATCAGGGACAACACCATCACAATTCTAAAATAAATAAGACAAAAGAGAAAGAAATATAAAGATTTAATCCTTTTTCTTCAAACAAACAGCATTGTCTACAGGTGGTTAATTCCAAAAGTAGTGATTTTCAAACTACAAGATAAAAAAGAAAAGATTGACTCTGTTTCCAAAGCACATGAGTTCCTGAGAATGCAGCTGGGAGTGCCAGCCGAGGTCGAGAAGGAAGAAGATGACAGCAAATTCAGTGGCGAATTGGACTCGGTGTCTTCCGACGAGGACTCTCTTTCTGATAAGAGGGCGGCTGCCCCCAAGCGTACATATAAATTGAGGATTAGAAAAGATAAGACAAAATGAAGGCTGAAGGACTCTGAATTGTGCCTTTAAACTTTAGTTTTATTGTGGGTTCTCTTAAATGGATAAAACATTGGATAAAAAGATAAAAAAACTAGCATAGCCAACTATGTTAAAAGTAATACTAGCAATTTAAGATTAACATTTATATAAGCTGCTGTT